GGGAAGCCTGAAATCAGGTCGCCAGATAGTCAAAAGGATTCTGTTGTCCCAAGCCTTCCTGCTGTACGGCCTGTTGGGGAGATATTGGGGGATAATGTTGTACCTCTTCGCATTAGTGAGCCTCCAAGAGCCAATAGCGGCAGGGTTATTGATGGCCCTAAAATTACCCAGGTGATGATACTATGAAATAATGTCGTACCTCTTCGGATTAGTGAGCCTCCAAGAGCCAATAACGGCTCACTTTGTATCTTTATACCTACCATATTGTATTGCTGCGACCAATGTATTCTGAACATTTTTAATAATCTGTTTTGCAGAGAACTGCCTCTTCTAGTAGTTTGGCATCCAGCAATGGCAATCCCATGGAACCTAAAAAGGAAACATCATTGATTGATTTTGATGCTGAGCCGGAACTGCCCGTGACTGCTGCTGCAACACAAGCTCAGCAATCAACTGCTGATCAATCGGTTGTCCAGCCAACAAGTACTCAAAGTGATAATGATTGGGCTTGTTTCGACAGTGCTCCGGTGGATAAGGTGTCTCAAGCACCTCAAAGTACGAATCCACTGGACTCTCTTACGGAGTTGTCAGTTCCAGTTCCTGGCCTTTCATCTGGATCCACTAGTAGCAATGCTGCTCCCATGCCTTCAAATGGCATGTTCTCATCATCAACTAGTGGCGATTTGCTTTTTGCTTCTGTGGGTAGTACATCAACAGATGCACTCCCTGGGGTTGCTCCTGCATCCTCACCATTGACCACTTTGTCATCTTTCCCATCTGGAGGTGCTGTGGCTGGTTCTAACTTGCCACCAACATTGCCCTCAAATGGTGGTAATTATCAGCAGTATGGGATGCAGCATCAGCAACAGGCTTTCACCCATAATGTTGGTGGTCAGCCTGCTGCTGCACAATTGGCTTCAGGTTTTCCTAATGGTTTTAGTAGTCAGGTAACATCAAAAATCGTAACCTTTTCACTGTAAAGATGCTGAGGTCATGCTGTTGATGTTTTGCCTTAATTACTCAGGGTGTGGCTGGCAATCCTGCTGCACAACCATCTCAAGCTATTGCAACTCTTCAGTCACAAACACTTGAAGTTAAACCCAATGATAGAAGAGAACTTCCTGCGGTATAGATGTGCTTGCTTTTATGATCTTTTTAATGCTCAATAGGTAGATTATGTCATAATGCCTTCTTAAATTCTCTACAGGATCTCTTTACTGCTACATACTCGTTTGCGCCTTATCAAGCTCCTGGTTGGCGACCTGGTGTCAGTGGTATGTATCCTGGCATGCAATATCCGATGCAGTATAACCCTGCAATGGTATGTCAAACCCATATATTTGAATTACTCTTTTTATAGGTTTTACTAAACAAATGTATGCTTTCATGTGCTTACAAATACGCTAATTTGGTACGTGCATGTTGCAGTCTATGCCAACATTTCCGCAGCCAACATTTCCGCAGCAAACATTTCTGCAGCCAAACAAATCATCTAATCCTTTTGATGCTGAAGGATCTTCTGGGCAACCTGCAGCGGTAGGCCATTAAATTACTTTGAAATAACTATTCTTTGTGTGCATTTAGGTCGAACTGTGGAAATAAAATTAAAAATAAATAAATGAGGAAGTAAACTGAAATTGTGGAAAGATTCAGGTTTAGGGTGGAAATTAATAAAAGTAGATATAGTCACCTGTAGTTTTTGTCTTCTGTTTTCCAGTCACAGAAGGCAATTATTATTCATCAAAATGGATTGAGTATCCAAGTCTTGAGTATGACTATCTGAAAATCTTAACATCTAAAGTAGCCGACTTTTGTTGAGTGATACTTCATGTGCGTTTTATATGCTATGTTATAAAATAGTCGCATATACTATGGTATGATGTTTATCACCTTTCTTAATTAGTAAGGCTTTAGATCAGAATTTTTCATTTTTCCCAACTATACTATAATTGATAGGGTGAGGATTGGAATGTCTCTACTCATTTATTGAGTTTATAGTGAAATCATGCTATGTTCTTAATTACAAGGGACTGAAATGATGTGATTATCAATGTCCAAACGAAGGAAGTGATAATTTTGAGAGGGATTTATGCCGTCATGAACCTTTTTTGACCTTACTATCCATACGTCTATGTTTTTTTTTTTTTTTTTAATTTTTTTTAAGACTCCACATAAGTTCAAAACTGTTTATAAAAATACTCTCAGAAGTACAGGAAAGTTCGCATTAGTTAATATAGAAGTTCAGATGAATTTAGATAAACTTGAAATTTTTTGGGTGAAGCAGATGAGCTTTAATCAGAGGTTAACTATGGAGATTTGTATCCCTTGTAGTTGCGGTTCTTGTGAAATCACTGCAATCTCACAACCCAGTTTAGATGGCTTTCACATGTGGGCATCAAGGACTAACTATGTTAATAATCATCCTTGCATACACAAAAGCTTTCTGGCCACTAACATTGTGGAGTTGTTGATTTCTGGTTCCCCACTTCTAACAAGTACGGTCATCCTATTTAAATTTTTTCAGTTCCCCTCTTAGGGTGGGAAGTGGGGACGGTTTAGCATTTAACTTGTAACTATGTTGCACTATTAAATACTCAAAATATTCTTGATGATTCCTAAAAAAATTCTTTTGTTGTGGGGCCTCAAGCAAAGGTCCTATATACCCATGATGATATTACCAAATTGTTGCTGGTTAGACAATTTAGTTGCCTCTCGGTCAATCTTTTTCGATTGACTGATCTGTCTTTAAAGTTGACTCACCTTTAAGGTTTTAGGTCTCTTGAACGACAAGTCTTTTCTTATATAAACTAGGCCCCTGTGACACTGCTATGTTTTTCAATACTATTTGTAGGCTTTTTGTGCAATCAAATCGTTCAAATTGGGTTGGTTGTTGCGGTAAGTTACTAAACACACTTTGTGCCTGACCTGTAGCCATGAAGAGGTGCTGGATAGTGGAATGTATTGCAGACTGTTGTAAATTCTTTTATTTACCCCATGATAGGAAAAAGTCTAATCTGAGTTTTACATGTGGCTTTAAACTGGAGGATGTAGTTTTTTAATGAAAATTTTAAACCCTAAACAAATGCTTTGATGCAGTTCCCTTCTATGTCAACTTTGCATGCTGCTCTGCCCAATGCAGCGGCTCCAGGAGGCGTAGCGCGTCCTTCCAACCTCGGTACTGCTATACCTTATGGATCAGCCATGCCAGGTGCTAATTTGATTCCTCCTCAGGTGTCAACAGTGCATCCAGCTGCACCATCTCTCGGATCAGTCATGCCAGGCGGTAATTTAATGCAACCTCCAGTCTTTCAGCCTTTATCTTCAATGTCTTTGTTTTTCAAACAGAATAGAGTTACTTTATTGTTGCTTTAGAAAGTGGGTTGGTGTGGACATAGTGAGGCCCAATGTGCTTTTTTTAGTTTCTCACATTTGCTCCAATATTGCCAGGAACATACATGGGCCAGCAATTACCCCCTAACATAGCATCATCCAGGTGAATACTTATATCAGACCTTAGAATTACGTTTGTTGGTGCTCAATATCGTATCTCCTGAATGAGTAGATTTATGCAAATTAAAATGACATCAAGGTTTCAGTTTTGAGCATCACTTTATGGTTTGTCTACAATTATTAGAAGTAAATGAAATCTAGTGTAGATTGTGGCTTGAATCCCTTTACAATTTTCGATTTCCTTTCCTATAAAACAAATTGCATTATTGAACTTGGAGTTAATTATGCAGGCCTCAGGGGTTTGGTAGCTTTGGTAACGAAGGGCCTGCTTTTGCCTCATTGAATCCGGCTGCTGCCATGCCAAACCCTTCCCTTGGTGGGAACCCATTTGGCTGAAAAGCAAAAACTCGTCTTGCTGCACCCCCTTAAACAATTCTTTTGTGGCAATGTTAAGTCCTTGTGTAGAGTAGATACATCGATACTCCACCTCAAATAGGAAGTTTTGAGGTCTTGAGGCGTAGGTTCATTTGCCTTGTTCCCATGTAAAGATATTTTGCACCTGTATGTAGAATACATCCAGAGAATATGAAGAGACGAAGAGTAAATCTTGTGATTTAAAAGAAGCTTGAAACACTGCGGAATTGTCATATGCTCCATTTTTGGAGTCTCATTCATTTAGATGATGGATCATCCTTTGGCAATTGCTCTAAAGCTTCTGCACTCTCAAGTTGTAACAATTTTTTTTTAATCTTATTGTAACCTAGTTTGGAGTCTACTGCTTTTATACCGGTAAGCAGCATTCATTTGTGAAAAATATATTTTAGTTGGCTTGTTAGAACTCTTTTTGTATCCCTTTAATATTATTTTTTTCCCAATTTATCTATGTGAATATAGATGCTTTGTTTGAGTAAATATCTTGTTATATGAGACTTTCTGGTTGTGTTCCATTTTGAAGCATCTGACATTGAATATTACGTGCACCACATATTTCTTACTTATATTAGCCACACCTTTTCTAAATTTTTCTTTTTATTCTATTCTTGATGTGTTAAAATTTGATTGAATATCGACTTGTAGTATCTCTAGATAAACTATTCTTCACTTGAATAGTCTTTATTGGTTGAAGTTGAAGGTTACCTGAGTTGGTTAGACTCTTGCCATCCACCCAGTGGCAAAGGTTTAAACTATATGGGAAGGGAAGGGGTTGTTGCCTGGTTGCAGTCGGCATTGACCTGACCGAGGGTTTCCTTGCAATACAACCCCAAGCCCTGACCTTTGTTATAGGCTCACAATTTTATTATATACTCCGTAGAATAAAATACTCTACCAGCACCATAATGACGGTTGAACCCTTAAGAGTTATTCGCCTCAGATATTGTTTGTGTTCAGGGATGTCAATGAGCCAATGTTTTTGTGAACAGCTCGATCAAAGTTTGGTTTGGTTTGGTTTTGCTCATTGACAATTGACATCCATATTTGTGCTCACTTATATAATTGGTAAAATGATAGCAGGAATATAACCATCTTTATTTTTTTAAACACACAAGGAGTAAAAAGAGTATTAACCACTTCAGCCTTTCCTGCAAGATCATGGACTAACACTATATTTCCTCCGCTAACAATTATCAGCGAGCAAAAGGAGAAAAAGCTTCATATTGTTCTAACATCATTTTGCACTGAGGAGATGTCATGCGATCCCAACGCTCTAGACTTAAACTAAGTTGCAGTCTTGCAGATCTTTTCTGAATCAGTTAAAATCGAAATCTGCTCAATATTCCTTGCCTTTGCTTCCATTACGCCCTTCAGAATCACACATCCTTCCGTATGCAGGGGAAAAACAGCTGATATTTCTCATTATTGAAGTCTTTCAAAAATTTCATTTGTCACTACTGATCTTTGGTTTGTTCCCCGGCTTGCTTGATGACTTTGAGAGATCTTGACCTCTTAACCATCTTTAAATCATAATTGCTTATTTTGGTATGCGCATCCTCGGTTTCTTGAATCACAGACTTACATGTATTCTCATCCCATACTAGAAAATCTAAGCTTCTAAAAGAAAGGGAGATCAAAATTGTTTTGGTAACACCTAACACTAAATATATATTTTTTTTCTTCATCTCTAAATAAGAAAAAATATAGTACCCTATATACAAATGAATATTGTGATATCACAAAAACCATCAGGAAACCCTTCTGTAGAATTGTAGTTTGTACTAGTCATTTCATCAGTCACGAGGACGGTACAAATTACTGATATTGTATAGTTGTATGTATACCGAGTCAATCGGGTCGGGTACATTTGAACACCCCTACGAAAGTACGAGTTGTATGTATACCAATTGCCAACACAAAAAGCCAAATTTCTCCAGAATTCTGATATTTGTCTTTTCTTCTCTTGTCAATGTCAATGAAGACAGCTTTAGATGGGCAAATTTTGATAAAGAATAAATAAGGCTGTTATTTTTTTCAGGGGAATTCATCTGCTTGTCTGCTCTTTAGTATTACTGGTGCTACAAGCATCCATACTGCGTCAAAACATGATTTTTAATTTTTAAATTTTGTAAGAATATTTTATTTTTATGGAAAAAGAATTATTTAGAGCACAAAAATTAAGACAATGTCAAGGGTTCTGATACTTACTGTATACACAAGCTGCTATCCATTCATTCACTACTCTGACCCAAGTGCTTGTCCAACCTACATCAATTGTCCACCTGCAAAACAAGCATTAGTCTCTTTTGAAATTTGAACAATTGTTTGAATCTGTAACCTGTTTTCTTTTAAGTGAGACGCGCAATAAGTTATGACTCAACCATTAAACAAGTCATCTTTTTAGAAAAGATATCCTTCAAAAAAAGATTTATCAATCTAACTTGTCTAACATAACTAGTTACCCAAAGGCCAATTACTTTTATCAAAATGTTACGGTGAGACCTCCCTTGTAACATTACAGTTTTGAATTATATCGCAACAAGATGAACCCATCGTTTGTCCTGCTAAGGTAGGTTTTGTAAAGATTGAGATGTATAAAGCTTACTTGTAATATCATTAAGGTCAATGAAATGTCACTACAAACTCTTTTTACTATTTGTTTCCAATTTAAGATCAGAGTATTGTTGATTGCAAGTTATTGTAAGAAAACAAATTAAAGAAACTACATTTTAAAAATAAAATAACCAAAGAATCTTACTTCTTCATTGCATGATGTGTATTCCAACCGATGAGTAGCATTGCAAAGTACATGGCTCCAGTTGCAAAAACAAAATGGAAGAAACCATAACCATATGGAATACCATCGTCGTCTGGTTGTTTCTCTTTTTTCTTGAACTGCACATGTTCATTATTGTTTTGTTACTTTCAAACTAATAGCTATTAACTCCAGCTAATTAAGGGAAAATGAGAGAAAATAATGACCTGAAAGCATTGGGAATCAATGCCTGTTGAAAAGGTTGCGATCACTATGGTGAGTAGTGCAACAACAAAGCTCTGCATGAACAAACAACACTTAGTCTTTTATTCCTTCAATTTTGTGTTTATAACTTGCCGTTTAATTCTAAAATTGTCATTCAGAGATGTTAAGAAGGTCCTGATAACTTACAATGATAGTAAGCCAGTCGGTTTGATTTGAAGATTCCGACCTCTTGTTGCATTTCGTTCCTGGAGGCTCACTGTGAACAAAGCAATGTGATTGAATGTAAGAACATGAGTTTTAAGCAGAAGTTTGGTCATCAGAACTAATCTAAATAGTAAGATATCGGGCTTGCCTTCGGATTGCACCCCAGCATAGATACACAATGTAAAGTCCCATTAACCCAGGAGTCAGGTATCCAGCACTGATCTGCAGAATGTGAAAATAAGCAATGATGTTAGATATATAAGATATTGTTGCATATACCAAGCAGTTGGGAAGCAACTTCTTATCACAGAAACTAACTCTAGGTTGCATGGAGACGCTTGTCATCAACTGCAGAAGTACGAGAGTCCAAGTGATGAAAAAAATGTTCTGGAGACATGATGTTTCTGGTGCATACCAGATGTACATCAAGATTATCCCAACTATGCTCAGAACATACGCGGTGGTGGCAGTAAACATCATATGGACACGGCTGCAAAAGGAAAGCATATATGTCAAGAAATATTTCTTTCATGCCACCAGGAAGCTAAGGGGTGCATTTTTTATATTGACAGGATTTTCGTTCTTGTTCCTCCCAGGGAGATTAGTAACATTCCCCTTTGTCATTTCCCCCCAGTGTAGGATCACAGATTTATACGAATTATGATTTTGTAGTCATATTAGGAACAATATAATGGATCTCCTAATTGTTATCTGAGGATAAAAGATCAAAAATCGTACCATCTATCTGCATACTTCTCTGACTGGCAACAATCATTCAGCCAGAAAATGAAATTAATCACACTTACAAGCTGGATTAAGAGAAAGATCCTGTAAGAATATAAAGAAAACTGTAAGGAAAATATAAAAAAAAATATATATATTTCAAACACAAATTGCTTCTACAGGCACAAGATATATACCCAGCACCAAAGTGAGCGATCTCTCCTGCAAAAAGAAAAACAAATTGTTAAGCTCTTTGGCCAAAAGAGTGCATAGATGTGAAAACAAGTTCAAAAGTTATTTAAGAACACTGACCATACATCTCGACGATTGGGGTTGGAAGGAGAAATGGAATAATCATAAGCACAAAAAACATGCTAGATTTTGCAGACCACCAGCCTGAATGCCAAGTATCTCTTTGATCATGCACTTTTGAGGTACCGACAGTGGAAAGGAACATCGCGAAGAAAAATAACTAATTTGTGGTTAACGAAAACAATATTTTAGACAATCTCAAAGCAAGAAGAATGAACATTCTCAAATTCTAAATAATTTTGAGAAGCTAAGGAGGTTGGTTAGGATACAAAACATCCCATGCTTATGCGCAGTACTCCTTCAGTGCCCAAACAGTCTGTACCAGCTTTGCATCCTCTCAATCCTGTGTACATATAAAGGTCAAAGGATTAGAAAATTTCTTGGTATGAAATTTGAAGATCACAATTGTCTGCAGCTATTTCATGTAATTTTTACAGAAAAACTAACTGAATGTAAAAGTGAGTTCAAACAAGGGCCAAAATGTTTAGATAAGGCCTAGCCAAGTTCGATATACACAGCTAAAATATTCTCAAATAAGGGTCAGAAAGTTGATATAGAGAAAATATTATTTTGGATAAAATTCAGATGAATAGAATGAAGTCATAAATAGTTTTCATACAAGCCAGCATGGTTGCGCGTTCAGATGAATAGATTATTGTTTGTAGCTCGAATTTATGGTTGTACATTAGATTTTATTGATCATTCTTAATGTAAATCGATATACTATTAGTGATTGAGATGAATAAAAGGGGCAAATTATGCAGCTAGTTGAACTTGGACACAAATTGACTCCCCAAATAAAAATGAAAAAGAAAAGGATCAAAAGAATGACTTACTTGCCATCTCTTTCATTGCACCTTTGCCATAATCCCGAATAGCCCATGCTAGAAAATTTGTAATGAGGAAAATGAATCCATATACATATCTAGCCATCCATGGATTACAACCATAACGAAATTGGGCAAACCAAGACCCGTCTTTGATTACTCCCGGATACTTTTCCTTCACGGTGATGATGGCGGTGGTGGTGGGGGTGGGGGTGGGGGTGGGGGTGGCAGTGGCAGTGCTCGTGCTCATACCGCTCTCCATATCCATTGCAATTGCAACAATTCCTTCACATTTGATATTTCATCGAGGCAAGAAATAAGACTCGAATATATTCCTCCACAACTCCCCTTCTCTTGATCTAGCAAAATCGAATGAGGTTCATAATTAATGTTACCTAAAACATAAAATTTCCTTACAAACATACACAATTAAGAGCCTAATTAATGACAAATTATTACATCAAACTAGTACAAGGAGACAAAAATCGAGATTCATTGAACAATCCTCTTAAGCCTTAGCTACCTAAGAGCATGTCATGCATATCAGCAACATGATCATAAATAACTCACACAAAACATTGTTATATAACAAATTTTACAACAAACTATACATTTGGTATGCAATAATAGTTTCCTAGTTGATAAAGCTTTTATCCTACACCACTATTTTCATGTAGTTGCTTACTTTATAAGGCACTTCCAATGACTTCCCTAAATTGGGTGAGATGCTTTCAAGGAACACCTTCTAAAAATAATAATTTCATGGGTTTACTAAATAATCTTCAAACATTATTAGTGTGATAAAAATCATTCCCTTTAAATCACATTTCACTACATTAACAAATGTTAGCCATTTCTATAACAAAACACAAAAACAGTAAAATTTCTTCCCAATTTACATGGAGAGAAAATCTACTGTAACAATTTTTATTTTTCAAAAGATAATTTAGATTCTTTTTTTGTCATTTCTATCAAAATTATTATTATTTTTTTTTAAAAAAAAAAAGAATCTAAAAAAACAGATGGCAAGCCATTGAAACTTTACCCCAAAATCAGTAAAACCCAAAATACCCAGAAAGGTATCAGATCATATTAACACAAAATAGCACCATAATTCTTACTTAAAACAAGATTAAACATCATAATCATAAATACTTGAAAACCCAGAAACAGAGTAACTTCATAAATACAACATACATTGCAAATTAAACAAAAAATTGAGCTACCCAGAAGCTAAAATGTGGTAATTAACATGAAAATTCAGTGAATTTGTTAATAAATGAAGTAAATTAGAATTGGGTATTACCAGAAATCAGGAATTGCAATGGGAGGAGAGAGAATGAGCCATACAGAAAACAGAGATCTATGCAGTAATTCTGTAAAAGTATCTTCAAGAATCAACCTTTTTCAGCTCATTCCAATTTATTTATCTCTTTTTCACTTTCGGCGATTAAGACAATTTGGTAATCTGGGGTAAAAAATAAAATGAGGAGAGAGAAAGTGAGAAAGATCAAGTTATAATAAGTACGTTTTCTCTGTTTCTGTTTTTCTATGATTTTGTTTCTGCAAATTCTTTTTATATATAGGCTAGCTTTAATAAATTGAGTAGCTTTTATTTTAACTTTATTTTTATGTTTATGTTTTTTTAAATAATTTAATCAATACGTTTTGTGTATGGCTGGTCATACCATGACTACTTGTAAAATAACAAAGTTTTCTTATAACATTAATCGAGTAACCCCTATAAAGCTATAACACTGTCCGAGTAACCCTGAGAGTGAGGGATACCTCAAGTGGTTAGAGCCCTCTTCTCGGTTTCAGGTAATCCTGGGATCGATTCTCATCACTTGCCTTTGTGGCTCTCTAAACAACAAAAAAAACTGACCGAGTAACCCTTATAACACTTTATAAAGTATTTCCTAACCCCTATAACACTAACAAAGTAACCCCCATGATGGCTGATGGCCACACGATGTAGTTAGCCACATACTACCTCTATTACATATTATTTGGTAGTATAAGAATTTATGAATTTTAATATATTTATATTTATTAATTTTTTTTTTTTCCCGCTGTAGACATCAACTAAAGATTTTAGCCTTTTAGGCAATTGAATGTGATTGTACGAAACGGCATCGTATTTGAAGTTGGAGTGACGAAAGTCCATTCAAATTTTGGGGCACTTGTCTTTAAATCAAAAGAGTAGTCCACTAAAAAGAAGATGCAATTGTACCAAATAAAAGAGGGCATTTTAGAGTTCTCTTGTGGCCAATTTTTTTCTCTTATTATTTCACCTTTATATAATGTTATATTATATGGTGAAGAGTTGTGATAAGTTGGAATAGTTTCACATACCAAATTATTTAAGTGGAGGTCCCTAGATAAGAAGATGATGAGAGATGCACTTGCTTTTTAATTTGTGGATTGGAATTTTGATTTGTAATGGTTGATGTGTATATAGATCAAGTCGGTTGAATGTATCGAGAGAATAGTATGTTGGTGGATTGAGTACATTGACCATATATATGTGTTCGATAGCGTTCATATATTAACATTGTTTTTTTTTTACAAAAAAAACATGCATCCACTTATATTGAGATAAATATGGAATATAATGAGATTTTACGAAATAAGTATCAATGCACTTATAAATATAATTGTTTATTCTAAAATATATTTTATAATTCATTTATAATTAGTATATATTTTCCTATTTGAAAACATCCATGTATATTGTATAAGTTTGCAATGCATTTAGGCAAAGTAATAGAAACTATATGTATGATCACTAGCAATGACGTGAAAACATAAAAATTTTCTTCCAAGAAATTGGAGATTTTTTTCTTCCTAATCGCTCGTGTGTCTTTTCAACGTTGTTTAACTTATCTAATATGTTTATTACTTGAACTTATACAAAGTATTATGTAAGCTTATATCATCTGGACTTTGAGAAGAATACACTTTAACTACTAATGAGCTAGAATTTAGGGGTTTGATTTAGGGTGTTACATCGACATTCCACCCTTTTTTCTCTTAAGATTATTCTACAGTAGTAAGCTTAAAAAAACATATCTAAAACCTTAGAATTTTGTGAATTTTATAGTTTGTGAGTAGATGCACTAAGCACTTAATAAAAATAATGAATGTTGTTCTCACTACTTTGTATCCATGTATGTCTAGAAAGTAACTTGCTATTCAATTAAATGTAAGGTGATTACAGACATAATGATAGGATTATGTGAAAGAAACGAAACCGCCTAATTAGATTAAACAAATTAATTAGTCAACGTGTTCTTTCTTGTTCCCTCACTAGCTAAGTGCATTAACAAAATTAATACAGATCTGGAATTCTAGATGCATGTTGAACCCTTGAGAAGGAGAAGAGAACGGATATATACGAAGTATATTCTTTTAGCTCTATACAAATAACTACTCCGTACTTGGTACTTATAATTCTGTGTATATGTACATTATGTCAAAAAAGAGTATAAACAGATCCATATATACGACGCACTCTTACCCTAATGTTGGGTATATATATGGTATATCACTATATCTTAACCCAACAACGATGCATGGACTTAATGCAAATCCGTGCATAAGAATGTAAAATTTAAAATCTAATGGTGTTAGCAATTTTACCTAACTGTATCATAAAAAATTTAATTAAATTCGCTAGCACCAATAACTTGGTTGATGCCTTAGCTAGGAATAAATAATTATTACTCCATTCAAATGCATGGTGCTAATACCTCCTCTAAAAATTATACTATAGTTGTAAGATGTACTAAATTTGGCATTTGCCTGGAAATTGAACTGTATTTAATGATAAAGCACTAAGGCATATGACTTCACTGTAAGTCCGACGAGGATGCTGAACTTTCAATAATTCAATTAATTGAAAGACACACATTATAATGATATGGTGTATTATTGATGACAAGCTTTCAAAATCACAATAATTCATGATTTTATGGATCCCAAATCCAGATTGCATGTGTGTATAATTTGTTTTCATTTTTTAAAACTTAATATTTTAGGGGATATTTTTCAATGTAGTACTGTACATAATTTCTTAAATCATGCAAAACATTAGATTGTGTTATTTTCATATAGGATTAATTAAATGTTTTCGTGGAGGAAAGTATATTATTGTCTTAATTACGAACACAAAATTTAAAGTTAGGGTGTGTTCTATATTCACCTGCTTTTTATCTTATCTGAACTTATTAAGAAATACTCGATCATATCTTATATATAGTTACACAATATTCTTTTATTATACGGGTACATAAAACTTGTATTGAATATACATGGTGACATGCACCATTACGGTACGTATGATATAGAATACTTCATATAATTACATACTCCGTACTAATTAATTATCATTATGCTTCTTTATTCAATTCTTTTAGAAACTATTTTTGCTTTAAATATCATTTTATATACAGTTATACAACTTATACTAATATATAAAGGCGCTCCATCAATAAGACCCCATCGATAAATAATAAAGAGAGACATAGATAATACTCTTAAAATGGTTACACAAAAGTAGAATAAGTACAGTATTACAAATAAACATGTTCGAGTGTAAAGTAAGTGGACAATTAGGTCCAAAGTAATGAAGAAACAAAGGACAAGATGTCGTTGCTTTAATAAACTAATCAAAGATTGATCAAAATATAATTAATTAATTGGTTCAGGGATTTGCATCTTTATTTTACCACTTTTTCCGCTTGATTGTTCACCTATTAACGATGTTAATGATGAGATGTCATTTAGTTGGACTCACTCATAATCATTAAAGTTCTTTCTTCTCTCTTTTTAAGGAATTTGTTTAGTTGTTGTATAATAAGAGCTATTTTTAACAATTTTTTCATCGATTTATTAATCTTTTGCGAAAAAAGAAAAATAAATATATCTATTCGATTATATAAGAAATGCTAGAAATGTAAACGTATTACTAGTGCACGAGAGTACTTACTAGATAAATCTAGCTATCATATAATATGAATAAATCCGTATCAAGCAGTATTAGGTCTAGTGGTTGAAAGAGACTTCTTATTATCGTAAATTTGTAATTAAATTCTAACATTCATTGCATGTAGTATATTAAATCGGGTATATTTTAAGAAATTTATAGTTTTCACATATCTACCATATATTGATATATCTGATGATGTTGCTTGTCGCAAGCTTGTCTCTTTTCTTTCTGATCAAAGCTTCGAAGATTTCAAGAACTTTTGACTTTATTAAGGTTCAGCTAGCAGTATTGTATAGTACTCCGTAGTAATCAAATTACAACCATGGAAATCTTTTACTCCCTCAATTCCAAACTAAATCTATTATCCCTTTGACCCTTTTACTCTAGTCTATCTGACATTAATCGGTAATTCTCTCGTTACATGAAAATGCACTTAACATTTTCGTTGAATATATATTCACATTGATCATTATTGATTCTATCAATAGAGAAATTGATATTCGATATTTGATCTCAAAACTTAAAGCGACAGTTAATATAGAATAGAAAGATCAAGTATATTATTGTTCGTTGTGTTGTAACAGTTAACTCGATTGAGCTAGTATAAGCTAGACAAATCGAGTATATATATATACAAAATAAGTACAACATTACATAATCATGGTTTCATGGAGCAATCATACCATGTTTATTCTCATGAAGAAGCTAATATAAGTTCTATCCCATTTCTCCAAAAGGACCTTTTTTTTTCCATTCAATAAGATACCAACTAACTCCACATTCTCTTCAAGGAGCCATACATAATGATTTGTTTCTAAAATAGTAAGTAAACTTTATAAATGTCAAACCACCAATTTATAACGTGTTGCAAAATTAGATGATTATTAGGTGATACATATACTAATTATGCTATAAACACTCCGACCTAAGCTATCATTGCAAAAGATCAGACGCAATTTATGATTGCCCATAACCTACGCATGCAATGCCAAATAGATGGATACTGCTTGCTTGACTTTCTGTGCATGTTTTTTTGGCATATAGATAGATAAAGGCTAATTAATGTTCTTCAGGGTTTTTGTTACAAGTACACACTAGATGGTTCATAAGGTAGGACCATATTTAGCCCGTATATAGGTCGACTCTAATTAGTTGTTGCAGCTCGTAGCTAGCTTAAGATTGCAACTATCTTGTTGATCGACATACGAAGTATATTACAATATGTTATGTATATATATTCTAAATTTATAAAGAGCATATTCTGCGTATAATTTAAGAAGATTAATGATAAATGGGTCTGGGCTACACCCGTTACAAGTGTCCATTATACAAGTCTAAGGAGGTTCCACCTCAAAACCATATGGCAATGAGGGGAGTAGCCCCTTAACCTTATAAAGTGGACACAACTTTCTTGTTTATTCAATGTGGGATACATTTCCTAACACTTTCATACTCTTACAATGTGGGACAACACTTTCACTCATGTGTAGGTTTGCTTATGGGCTCAACAATTAACCATACAATATTAACGTTAATCAACTCGATTATATAGCTAAGTTTCAGTACCCATGCATCAATTGTCAGCAAATAAGAAAATTTCCCTTATTCCTAAAGACTTTTTAGAAAAAATTACATTACAACTTATTATGTACTCGTAGTACACTACTCTCTTCGTTCCACAATGATATTTCTATTTTGATCAAATTTGTCTCACAAAAAGATTCTAAACGAGAACATTATTATGGAATGGATGTGGATGTAATTATTTTTTGAGAGAGGTGGGTCGAGTGTTCATTATAGAAAAAGTAGCCCTACAAAGTGAGCTAATTAAGTTGGGGTAAAATAGTAAT